CAGGAATGGCTGCATTACTTCACAGAGCTATGCTACTGTGCTGCTGTTGATTGTAAGGGTTTCTTAATGCTTTAAAAGCTGCTACAGTACTTTTTTGGTATGTAAATGTTGGAGTTCTGGAGATCATGCTTACAAATTTTCCAGGATCTTGCATGCATTCTTCCATTATGCTGGGATTCAACAGAGTATTTTGAGGCTGGACCAGCCCCCAGGCTTGTTTGTTTACTGGATATAACTGGACGCAGGTGTATCAACAACTCTTCTGGCAAAGATCCTGATGTTAGGTCTGTGACATCGCAGTCCCTGACCACGGTGACACCCAGAATATTTTGGCCCATGAGAGATGCCTGTGTCCTTTTTATAGTGATGCAGGGGAAAGATTCAGCTCAAGAAAAAAAAAAAAAAAAAAAAAAAGAATTATTTGGTGCAAAATGAAGGGTTGAATGCTTCTTTTATTATTTAGGTTTTGGATATTTCAGACCTCAGGCTCCAGCTGGCTGAATATAAAAGAGTGGGGTTTTTTTCTTGTTTTATGGCACTGCAGATCCTAAGTTAGTGATGAGAGATTCTGGGTATGGGAAACAGAACTGGGCAACCATTTGCAGAAAGCAGCAAGATCCACTTGGACCCAAATCCTGTATCTGTTTTCAGCACTTGCACCACCAGGACATAACAGATGTTGGGCCTGTTGGAAGCAGTGTGAGTAGTCAAATATCTTATCTTTTGGGGGAATGACATTTGGGGATGTTGGCACCAAAAAAAACCCCCAAAAAACCCCAAGCAAAAAACCTAATCAGGTGGCACATGTCAGAGCTATTTTCTGTGGCATGGCTGCAACATTCCCAATTTCAAGATTGGTTGGTGAATTAGGAGTGCCAGGATACCTTTTCTGAGAAGACAGCTAAACTTAGTGTCTTGCCTACAAAATCAGTAGAATCCCAAGGGATTGGTGCGGGTCCAGCATTTCCATTAAAAAAAAACAACAAAAACAAAAACAAAAACAAAAGTCTGTCAGAAAGGAGAGTATAAATGTCCTATGACATACACAAACATTTCGCCTATGCAACTGCAAGGGCTATGCAGTTTGACTTGTGTGTCAAAAAACCCACAAAAGATCCAAGAACTTGGATTTGTGCAATAGCTGTTTGTTTTTCCTTTTTCACATTCAACAATTCAATAGAAGGAAGAAATGCCTTAGATGGCTGTTCATAAGTAATCCTGATTACTGGCCTCCTACGAGCTTGATGAAGTCCAGAAAATCCATCGCTGACTGATGCTTTCCCTGTGCAAAATCGGATTTTTGTATTTTGCTAATCCCTGGTTACAATCTGTGTCCTGCTCTTTGTGATCTACTCTGCAATCAGAATCCAGCCAGCCCACATGTAACCCGGGACATTAATGTAAAATCTTGATGTTGGAAAACAAGCATTTATTAGCCTGAATCTTAGGATACAGGAGGGAGGTGGTTACTGGGCAGAAACTTTGGGATTTGTCTGAAGAGTCCCCTGTTTCCCTGGGCTGAGGAGTGCAAGGAGCTTTCACAGGCAAAGCTGCAAACTGGAAGTGACTGGGAGCTGACACACTGGAGCACTCACTGCCTGGGCTGGATGGTTTTCTTCCTCTGAGGAGCAGGACGAGCTTGTAGGAGATGTCCCAGTACATCCTCTGGATCTTCTTTTTGGCAACAATGAAGGCGAGAGGGGAGCTGCCATTCATTGGAGAGAACAATGCGGCTATGATGATAAACTGGTAAGGAAAAAACCATCTTTGCTCTTTAATGGGAGATAGTGTACTCGCCCATTTTCTGCAGCGGTGACTGCTCTGACTCTGTCTATATGCTCCTTGACTTTAGGTATCTTTGCTTTAGCAACAACTTTGTGTCTCCAGAAATGGGCAAGGCAGGGGGTGAAGCTTTACAGGACGGAGATGGTGGTTATGTTTCATGGCTCCCCTGTGCTGCCCAAGGCAAGCTTTCCCTCACTTTGTCTCCTGTTTGGAGAGTAAACGGCAAGCTCGGCTGCCCCCTCTTTATTTGCTGTGTTTGGAGAGTTTGAGCAGAAAGCTTCACATGCCTTCATGTTTCAGTCCAGCTAACTTTATGTGCGAGTGTACAGGTACCTGTTTTCACATCTCCTAAATTTCCCGCAGATAGTTAACAGATTCCTAACCTGATCTATACCTTGTCCTCTAAAATCCTGCCTTTGGCTCAGAGCTCATCATGTTTCACCAGGGACACAGGGCATCACCAGAAAACCCTGTTGTGCTT